ATTTGCACTTCCTATCATAGACAAAGGGCAAATATTTCTACTATATAAAGGACTTCTAGGAAGCAGTAAGAAATAGATCAACAACCCTATAGAAAAATAGATCAAAAATATAAATAGTAAATAGAAAAGAATCAAATGTCAGTTAAACCTATGGAAAAATGTTCCAATCACTCAAAATAGGAGCATGCAAATTAAAGCTACATTGTCTACCTATCAGACTGGCAAAGATAACAAGATTATAAACTGCCTTGATGAAAGTGTGAGCAAACATTCTCATACATTGCTGGAAGGAATGTAAATTGGTACAAGTTCTATATAATTCAATTTGGCAGTACTATTAAAATTAAAAAGCATATACTCTTTGATCCAGTAATTGCACTTCTAGGGGTTGATCCTATAGATATTCTTACATATGTAAAATAAGCATGGACCAGATTATCATTACAGTATTATCGGTATAAATAAAAGACTAAAATTCATCTAAAATAACTGGTTGGGTGAATTATGTAAATTATGATATATCTTTCCAACAATGTAATGCCAATGAAATAATAAGCTTCTGTAAGAAAAAAGTATGTGCTGGTAAAAAAATTCCAAGGTCTCCAAAATATATTTGCTGGATAAATGAATACATCATTTAATGAAAAGGTGCCAATGATATGCATAGTATAATCTAGTTATACATTCATGTATTCGTCAAATACACTTGAGCATCTGCTATGTGTCAGGCATCACACTAGACACTTGGGATATGTCCATAAAATAGATGAAGATCTTAACTGTAGTGGAGCTTGCATTCTGTTAAAGGAGACAATCAGTAAATAACAAACATGAACATTATATAGTATATCAGACACTGGTAGGTTTTATGGGTGAAAGAGTAAAGCAAGGCATGGGAGATCCAGAGGGCTGGGGGTGAAGAAGAAGATAATGTGCACCACTAAAAATACCTTGGTCAGTCAGCTGTAGCAATTTCTTACTTGACATATCCCCAAAGGCAAGGGAATTAAAAGCAAAAATGAACTACTGGGACCTTATGAAGATAAAAAGCTTCTGCACAGCAAAGGAAACAACCAACAAAACTAAAAGGCAACCAATGGAATGGGAAAAGATATTTGCAAATGACATATCGGACAAAGGGCTAGTATCCAAAATCTATAAAGAGCTCACCAAACTCCACACCCGAAAACCAAATAACCCAGTGAAGAAATGGGCAGAAAACATGAATAGACACTTCTCTAAAGAAGACATCCGGATGGCCAACAGGCACATGAAAAGATGCTCAACGTCGCTCCTCATCAGGGAAATACAAATCAAAACCACACTCAGATATCACCTCACGCCAGTCAGAGTGGCCAAAATGAACAAATTGGGAGACTATAGATGCTGGAGAGGATGTGGAGAAACAGGAACCCCCTTGCACTGTTGGTGGGAATGCAAACTGGTGCAGCCACTCTGGAAGACAGTGTGGAGGTTCCTCAAAAAATTAAAAATAGATCTACCCTATGACCCAGCAATAGCACTGCTAGGAATTTACCCAAGGGATACAGGAGTGTTGATGCATAGGGGTACTTGTACCCCAATATTTATAGCAGCACTCTCAACAATAGCCAAATTGTGGAAAGAGCCTAAATGTCCATCAACTGATGAATGGATAAAGAAACTGTGGTTTATGTACACAATGGAGTACTGCGTGGCAATGAGAAAGAATGAAATATGGCCCTTTGTAGCAACATGGATGGAACTGGAGAGTGTTATGCTAAGTGAAATAAGCCATACAGAGAAAGACAGATACCATATGTTTTCACTCTTATGTGGATCCTGAGAAACTTAACAGAAACCCATGGGGGAGGGGAAGGAAAAAAAAAAGAGGTTAGAGTGGAAGAGAGCCAAAGCATAAGAGACTCTTAAAAACTGAGAACAAACTGAGGGTTGATGGGGGGTGGGAGGGAGGGGAGGGTGGGTGATGAGTATTGAGGAGGGCACCTTTTGGGATGAGCACTGGGTGTTGTATGGAAACCAATTTGACAATAAACTTCATATATTGAAAAAAAATAAAAATAAAAATACCTTAGTCAGGTTGGGCCTCTTTTTTTTTTTTAATGTTTATTAATTTATGTTGAGAGAAAGAGCAAGAATGGGGGAGGGGCAGAGAGAGGGGGAGAGAGAGAATCCCAAGCAGTCATCACATTCAGCCAGGCTCAACTCGAGGTTCGATCTCACCGTCATGAAATCATGACCTGAGTTGAAAATGACCTAAGTTGAAATCAAGAGTTGGAGGGTTAACCAACTGAACCACCAAAGCACCCCTCAGGTTGGGCCTTCTAAGGCAAGAGTTGAACAAAGCCTTGATGGAATTTGCTTCCATCAAGTTTCTGAGAGAGGAGATCCCAGCATGGGGGCTAGAGTAAAGGACCCGAGGGTGGGGATGTGTCTGCTGGTGTGGGAGCAGCAGAGAGGTGGGCCAGGCTGAGTTGAGGGATCTGGAAAGAGCAGTAGGAAGAAAGTGAGGAAGACAGTGGGAGACAGATCAAGGCAGGGCCATGTCAGGATGGTGACTTTTATTCTGAGGAATGAGGAGCCCTGTAGGGATCTGAGGCACTGAGTGACATTGTATGACCTTGAATTTAAAGGCCTTCATCCTGTGCTTTGTGGAGAATAGGCTGTGGGAGACAGCAATGGAAGCAGAGAGAGCCCTGGGAGGCCAGGGGAGGCAGGGACTTTCAGAAGACAGGCTGGTGTCTGTCACCTGGGTGACAAGAGAGGGGTGGTGAGCAGTGATCAGATTCTGGAAATGTTTTCATAGTAGCCAACAGGCTTTTCTGATAGACTAGACGTGGCATGTAAACAGGAGGGTCAAGGATGACTGAGTAACCTGAAGTCTGGGGGTGCCATGGACTGAAAGGGAAGTCGCTGATGGAACCTGTTTGTAGGAAAGATCGGGAATTCAGATTTTGAAAATGTCGACTCAGAAATATTTATTAGACATCCAAATGTCTGTCTAATCAATGTCATCTGTAGATGGTATTTAGAGACATGAATATGTTACTATTTGTATAAACAGAGAAAAAAAGGATATATATCCATTTGCTTGTATATGTATATAATATCTCTTTTCCAGACATATGCACAAAAGCTGGTCATTTTGGTTGCTTATTTAGGAGAGAAGTGAGTGTCTGGGGATCAAGAGTTGAATGGAGTCTTAGTTTTCATTGCATGTCACTTTAAACCTTTAATTTTGAACCATGTGAATATATCACATTAAAAAAATAATAACTATAACTCACATTATAAAACTGCTACATAACTCTTCCTGGAAGTTTTTTTCTTGTTGCTAATTTTTTGTTTGTTTTTAATTTTTTTAATGTTTATTTATTTTTGATAGAGAGAGAGAGACAGCATGAGTGGGGGAAGAGTAGAGAGAGAGAGGGAGACGCAGAATCCAAAGCAGGCTCCAGGCTCTGAGCTGTCAGCACAGAGCCCGACATGGGGCTCGAACTCACAGACCGCGAGATCATGACCTGAGCCGAAGTCGGATGCTCAGCAGACTGAGCCACCCAGGCGCCCCTTTTGTTGCTAATTTTTTTAATGCTGAGAAAAGGATAAATTAGTTTCATGGAGGGCTCCTGGGTGGCTCAGTCTGTTGAGGGTCCAACTCTTGATTTTGGCTCCAGTCATGATCTCACAGTTCACAAGATTGAGTCCCAAGTTGGGCTCTGTGCTAACAGTGCAGAGCCTGCTTGGGATTCTCCCTCTCTCCCTCTCTGTCTGCCCCTCCCCTACTTGCACTCTCTCTGTTTCTCTCAAAATAAATAAATAAACTTAAAAAAATTAGTTTCATGGATTTCAAAGATATTTATTGAACATCTACTATATATAATATACTAAAATTAAAAAAAATTATCAAGATGTGGTCTCTTCTTTAACACAATAATGTGTTAAATTTGAATGCAAATCTGTCTTCTGAAACTAATTAGTAGCAAAAGTTACACCTTATTAGGATTAACAAGCAGCTAATTTTATAAAGCCCAGCTGCTGTGCTTTTTGAATACAATAGAGTAAGTAGTTATCTATCGTAAGGCTATTCTGACTCTTGGAAAAAATTCAGAATTATTTTATGATCTAAAACTAAATGAAATAGCTGGAGATTAAAGTGATCAGACATAGAAAAAATATATATACCTGATTCATTCTTCTAATTCTTGCTCAATACTTTCTGGTTCCTGTGTGTTTGTTTTGTTTTATTTTAATACAGAAAAATACAGAGAATCATATAAGAAGCACCTATATAGTCCACTACTCAGAATGAACAAATGTCAACATTTGGTCATTGTCTTAATCAGCTCAAGGTGCTATAACAAAATGCCACAGACTGGTAACTTAAACAACAAACATTTATTTCTCACGGTCATGAAGCCGGGAAATCCAGAATCAAGGCACCAGCAGATCCAGAGTGATGACAGTCTTGCAGATGACAGTCTGGTTCATTGTGTCCTCACACGGCAGGGAGCAGAGGGAGAAAGCAAAGTCAAGTCTGTGTGTGTGTTTAATAAGGGCACCAGTTGCATCCACAAGGGCTCCATCCTCATGACCCCACTACCTGCCAAAGGCCCCAGCCCCTAACACCACCTCACTGGGGATTAGAATCTCAACATATGAATTTGGAGGAACACATTCAGTCCATAGCATGGTCATGTTTGCTTTATATATTCTAATAACACACATAAAATAGCACAGATAAAATGTAGGTCTTCTGTTCTCTTTTCAGTTCCATTTTCTTCCCTCCTTAGAGATGGTCACTCTCCTGAGTGCACACCCTCCCAGTCTTCATTTTACTACACTTTTGTACTCAGAAATAAGAGATAAACTTTAAATAGATGCTCTTATTTTGAATACATTATTCTGACGCTTGCCTTTTTCACCTCACATTATGTTTTTGAGATCTATCCATGTTGATACGTGTCGCCATTTCATTATCTAGAGAGAAGTAAAATCATAGCAATTTTTTAAAAGTTTATTTCATTTATTTTGAAAGAGAGAATGAGCAACTGGGAGATAGGAGCAGAGGGAGCCTTGCAATCCTCCATCGACTTCATTGCTAAAACAGTAAGTGATGATATGGAACACCTAGAAGGAATTGTTTAATGTTTTAACTCTCTGGCAAATTGCCTAAGATGAGTTTCTAAATTGCTTCAAATATATGGTTTTTGCCCCAAATGCCCTTCACGCTGTGATAAAACATAAATGTGCACTTAGCTATTTACTTGTGCCAGGAGCTGGGCAAGAGTTGAGAGAGGGTCAGTTTTTGAGAGTCTGCAAATGAAGAGGAGAAAAAAGATCTCTGGCATGGCTTTTAATCAATAACCAATCCATCAGCTCTTATTCACAAACTGTGTTTCTAAAGAGTTAACCTATGGTTCATCCCTTCAGGGAGAACTCGAACTCAACTTGTGGAATAGTATGAACACTTACCCCTCTTTCATCTCAAAGGATGGCATTAGGGTCCATTTGAGGGTCACTAGGAGTGCCATTGGGGACACAGGTTTCTGCAGAGGGAGAAGGTGATTGAGAAGACAGAAAAAGTGACAATGCTATTCTCCTCCATCATGGACACATCTGTACATATTCCTCCCCCCACCCCCATAATCCCAGGGCCAAGCCACCTCTCTTGCACCTCTCTGGTCCCTATTTTACCTACACTCAATTTTGTATTTCATTTATTTCTATTTAAACAAAAAAGCCCTGGGGCTCCTGGCTGGCTCAGTCAGTAGAGCATACAACGCTCGATCTCAGGGTAGTGAGTTCAAGCCACATGTTGGGTATAGAGCTTACTTAAAAAAACAAAACAAAACAAACAAACAAAAAACACCATAAACATAAAAAGCTTTATGACAGAAAAAAAAGGATTGTTTATAAAAAGTCATGAGGAGGGGCACCTGGCTGGTTCAGTCTAAGCGTCTGACCTCAGCTCAGATCATGATCTCATGGCTCCTGAGTTTGAGCCCCATGTGGGGCTCTGTGCTGACAGCTCAGAGCCTGGAGCCTGCTTAGGATTCTGTGTCCCCTCTCTCTCTGCCCCTCCCTCCCTCACACTCTGTCTCTCTCTCAAAAAAAAATTTTAATTAATTAATTAATTAATTAATTAAATTAAATTAAATTAAATTTAATTTAATTAAGAATAGGTTATATAAACCTTTAGAAGGAAACATGAAAAATTCTGGGTGAAAATAAAGTTAAAAAAAAAATCTGGGTGTGGGGGGAAATTGCTGAACTTGAAAAGGGTAAAAAACAGTAGCTTTTAGAAGAAATGGCTTTTGATTTTACCCAAATTAATTCCTTATGTTGCTAAGAAATCTGAGCTGAAAATATACTGCATTCTCTTCCTGAGTAAGTGATATCCATCTCCCAAAGGACCATCTGTGGTCATTATGATGTCACCTTGGCAGAAACTTGAGGACATTAGTGGATCAGATGTCTTGAGTCTTAGTAAAACACCATTAACATTTTAAAATAAATGATTACATAATGGATTCCTACTTTCTTTGTAGAGGGGGCACTTCCAAAATATATCATCAAACATATTCTCTTTCAATTACAAATGGATTCAGATGTGATTTTTTCCACCATGTCAATGTCACACTTTATGACCCATCGCAGAAAAATAAATAAAATGGAGCGTTTTCTGGATTACTGGAATCTAAAAGTAAAGCCAGCCTTGAGGTCATGTTATCGTTTTGTAAAACCTAAAGCCGTCCTAAAGGTTAGCATCAGATTCAGAGTCATGTTTGCCTAGTCCTTATGTGATTGTAGTGTTTGAATAAGTGCCTATGGCAGATGTTTTTCATTTTTCCCAGAACTATGATTTTAGGTAGAAAAACACCTAGCAGTGGCATATCAAACATCATGTCAAAAATGCTAAGGTAAAATCTGGTTCTTGATAAGGAAGGTGATTTGACTCCAAAATGTAATGAAAACCCTTAAAAATTGAATTGTTTTCATATCTTGTATAGAGAATTTAGGCTGGAGATGGTAGGTTTGGTCATTCATTAAGCGTTTGTGGAAAACCTATTATGTGCGATCATTGTGCTAAATTTGCAGGAATTAGAGATATATAAGACAGTAGTGGGAGATGATGGGTTTATAAATAATAATAATAACAACACAATGCCAGAGTGCTCCAGGGAAAGCATCAACAACGGGATGTAGGAGTTGTGAGAAATATAATGGTTTAGTCGTGATCAGGGCCTTGAAGGACTAGTCGAATCTCAATTGGCAGATTTGGTAAAAAGAAGTTAGGGTAATCTAAGCAGAGAGAAATTTATGAGGAAAGGCACAGTCAGGGAAATGTAAACAAAATGGTACATAAAGAGGGGTCATGAGGAATGAAGCTGGAAAGAGAGGTCACAGGTAATCATGGAGGCCCTCCAATACCATGCTACAGAATTAGGAATTTGCTAGTTAAGTCAACACATGATCATGAACATCTTCAAAATGGATCAGAGAAAGATAGCCACAGTAAGATCAGGAAATAAGGAGCTAAATCAACCAGGTGATACTCCAGATTCATGACTCAGGAAGCTCTTCAGTTAAGAGGAACTTTTCTATTTAGGAAGTAAAAAATAGGTAAAAGCTCTTTGCTGTCATTATTTGTTTTTGTAATTTGGAACATTGCTTTCTAATGGGGTGAGAAGACCTAAGGATTAACAAATTAAATCATGGAAAAGAGCTTTGCAAACAATAAAGTCTTTTATTTATTTATTTACCAGTTAAATTCCAGTATTGTCAACATCTAGTGTTATATTAGTTTTAGGTGTACAATATAGTGACTCAAAAATTCTACACATTACTCAGTGCTCATCATGATAAGTGTAATAGAGTCCTATTTATTTCTTTCATCTCAAGTAACATGAAACAATCATTTACATGAGTGGAAGAATAATATAACATTAAGGATATGGAAGAGAAGTATTTTATTGCATGAAAACTAATAATACTCTTGAGGATAAAGTAAGAGAGGAGGAGAAAGGACGGTGTGCAGGGAGGGAGATGGAGGAAGGGAACAGGGAAGACAGGAGCAAAAAGGAAGATGGGGAAGAAAGGAAGGCACATGGATACAAGTAGACCAGGTCCACAGAGAGAGACACGGGGTGGGTAGTGCTTAGGCACACAGCAGGCAAGAACTTCAGAACATCCCTCGTTTGTTCACTTTCTCCCGACAACTTCTCTTCTTCCATTGCTGGCCCTGTCTCCAAGGTTCTGAGCTGGGCATTTCTCGCTCTTCTCCAAATCAGGAGAACCTAGGGGTTATATTTAGGTCATAGTTCACATGATAAGACTCTCAACAGCCTATGAACAGATAGCAATCTTAGGAATTGCCTACTTTTCAAAAGGCTCCATACATGTATAGGTTTACTGCAAAGACATTTCACTTCTCAAAGCACCTTCATATCTACCATCTCCTTTGAGCTTCCAGTTATGTAGAACAAGCATTCTTACTCTCACTGTGCAGATAGAAGAGGAGAAATGGTTGTAAGGTCTTCCTGAGTAAATGATATCCATTTACCAAAAGACCAGCTGTGGCCATTATGATGTCACACTGGTAGAAACTTGAGGATATGAGAGGATCAGATGTCTGGAGAGTGAGTAGAGACTATCTCAAGTCTTGATGAAAAGCAATAACATTTTAAAATCAATGATTATATAACCTGTCCCTGTTTTTTCTTTGGGGGAAAGTACAGTTTATTATAGTGTAAAGGGTATTAGGATAAGTCAAAAGATCTGAATTTTAATAGTAATAATGATATTATTAGCTAATAAAAATAGCTACATTTAGTAAACGTTTATGCCAGACACTGTGTTAAACCCCTTATGTGTTATTTCCATTCCCCTCTACTGCAACTGTATGAGGTCAGCACTGTTTTTTGGTAAGTAATAGAGCTAAGGTGTAGGGAACTTAAGTAATTTGGCCAAGTGTTTTAGCTCAGGTTCTATATCACTCAAACTATTTATAACTTCTTTGGGTCTCTTATTTCCTTACAAATTACATTTGTAATTTCTAAGACGACTTGAAAAAGAATGAAGATATAGTTTGTTCATCAAAGGAAGACAGTCTGATACACAATGTCAGGGGTTGCTAAACTTTTTCCGTAAAGAACCAGACACGAAACATTTCCAGCTTTTCAGGCCATACCAGCTCTGTCACAACTCCCCAGCTCTACCGATGTGGAGCAGAAGCTGTCATGACAATACCCAGGACAAGGATGGCTGGGTTCCAATCCAAGTTTATTATGGACCCTGACATCTGAATTTGGTGTAACTGTCACATGTCACAAAGTATTACTGGTCTTTATTTTTTTCAAGTAGTTAACAATATAACAATTATTCTTAGCTTACAAGCCATACACAAACAGGCAGGGTAATTAATTTGGCCTGCGGGCCAGATTTACAGAACTTCACTTTGTGCAAAGATGTCACAGATATATACGTCCACAGAAAAGTTTTCCTAGAAAAGAGTTGCATCTACAAAACAGACATGATTGATAACATTATTTCTAAATGATCAGGAAGGAAATATTTTTCGAGTAGAAGAAACTATTTCATCTATTCTTAACAATAACCACTGCCTCTGCAGTGCCTTATACTTGTGATATGTGCCATGTTAGAAGGCATTGCTGGAGGGGCGCCTGAGTGGCTCGGTCGGTTAAGCAGCTGACTCTTGGTTTAGAGTCAGGTCATGATCTCACCACTCGAGAGATCAAGTCCCAAGGTAGGCTCTGCGCTGATAGCTTGGAGCCTGCTTGGGATTCTCTCTTTCTCCCTCTCTCTCTCTCTCTGCCCCTCGCATATACTCTCTCTCAAATTAAATAAATAATTTTTTTAAGAGAAAGAGTTGCTGGAACACATAAGAGCCTATATATCCTGGGACTAGATGGGGTGGATTCACTAGAAGCTAAGACCAAATTGATCCCAAAACAAGCCCCAGAAAAAGACTTCTAGGTAAAGAAAGCATTGTCGCTAAATTCAGAAAGAGTTGTTTTTTTTTTTTAAATAAAAGCATTAAACAGGCATTTAATTAAATTAATGGATAGCTTTTTGAGCATCTCTAATTATGGGTCTTATTCTCCTCAAGGTAGTCAGGCTCCTGGCAGCAGCAGACAAACAGGTTTGGAGGCAGTGTCAGTAGAAGTGATCGTGAATATACTGTCCTCGATGATTTTATCTCCATACATAGTCTCCTTGATGATCTCCCAGTCATTAGCACCTCAGATTACAGTATCTGGAAACAAAAATGCCCATCAGCACCCTCTAATCCATGCGCATGCAGGCTCCTGTGCACATGCACATGTTTTGGGAGATGAGCTCTTGGCTGGAGTTCATTCATTGTATTGGCTTCATTAATCTCTTGGGCATTCTGGTATGAGAATTCTTTTCATCTTTTGATACCCTGGCCAACAGCATTGGTTTGTGGCCATCTACTACTGTACCTGTAAATATATTATAAAGGCATTAGATTTAGGATGTCCTATTAGCCTTAAAAACAGGTCTCATTCCTGGAGGGAGTGGCTAACGGGAAGGTATCTCCCCAAGAAAGCGTTCAATGCCAGGGTCTGTCATCTGTGAAAGAAGCAGGAAACAGGAATCTGAATTCTGTCTCATCCCACAGAACGGTCTTATTTTTCCTGGACCAAGCCCTCTAATGGCCTCATGACTTTGAAGAGGAAGGGTGCCAGGTGAGTGCTCTTGTGGGGTAAACACAAGAATGGAGCCTCAGCAGGAAGGAAGGTCAAGCGTACATTTTGTTCAAGCAGGCCACATCTTTTTTATTTTTTTAAGTTTATTTATTTATTTTGAGATAGAGAGAGAGAGAGAGAGAGAGAGAGAGAGAGAGGATGAGCTGGGGAGGGGCAGAGAGAGAGAGGGGACCAAGGATCCAAAGCAGGCTCTTTGCCCACAGCAGAGAGGGACTTGAACTCACAAACATGAGATTGTTACCTGAGCTGAAGTTGGATGCTCAACTGACTGAGCCACGAAGGCGCCCTCAGCGGGGCACATTTTATAAGCAGATTATGGTACTCTTTGTTAGGCTCTTTCTTTATTTGTTTTATTACCCCGGACTTTGGCAAATTCTGATTTAAATGTTCCAGACTTACTTTAGGATTGCTGTGAGTTTTAAAAGCAAACGTGTCAAAGCCAAGGTGTTAAAAGGGGAGCAGTGCTCCCCTGAGGCCAGCTCCTGGTGGCAGCAGTAACCAGTGAGGTCCCCAAGGGACTGTGCAATGCATCTGTGGAGACTCACCCTCTTGTACCACTCCTGCAAGATTGGGAATTGGTATAAGATGGGGAAGGTCGTCTTCATTTTATAGCCTTCAAAATTTCTAAACTCTTTTGTAGAGAAGCATTCTTATGTAGTAAGTATGAGATGATAGCATGTAGATTAGGCATAGGCTGGAGTCTGTGTGACCTCAAGCAAGTTACTCTACCTCTCTGTGCTTCAGTTTCCTCAATGGCCAAATATGTATAAGCGTACCTTTCTGAAATGACTTATTCAAAGGATTCAATAAGTTAGTATATAAACATACCTACCATGGTGCCTGGCTCATAGTACATCCTCAGTACAAGTTTCCTGGTATTACTGTAGTATCTCTTTTTTTATCTGCCTGATTAAATGGGACAAAATGATCTTCTTCTCTCAGTCTTCTGACTTACTGTAAAATTAGTAAACTGTGGTAAAGCTGTGGACATCAGCCCCTCAGATCCTAGCGCCAGGCCAGGCACCGTGAAAACTCCTGAAGAATTTTACAACACGGTTCTTGTTCTCTGGGTGCTTATAAGCAAATGGGGAAGGCTGACGTGTGAGTTTAATGGTGGCCACATGGTGTGATAGCCTTGATGGTGTTGGACAGGGGTTTTTTCAGCCTCGCTCAGGCTCGATTTCCTCTTTTGCAAAATGGGGATTATAATAGTAACTACCTCATAGGGTTGTTACGAGAACTGAACAGGTTAATACAAGTGAAGTGCTTACAACAGTGCGGATGTGTGGTAGATGCTGGGCGTCAGCATATGTTACCATGAAGCAGTGCGTGGACGATGATGTGCCAACTGGTACAGCAGCGGTCCAAGGAGAGGTTGTTGTATGCTAGAGCAATGACAGAATCTTCATGAATGCAATAAGGCTTGAACTGAGGATGTGGGTTGGGTGGGACTGGGACAGGCAAAGACAAGTTGAGGAAGGAATAATATTACCAGAAACACGAAGAAGGAAATTGACAGGGACGTTTGTGATTACAGACTGCCGTATTAATTCCTGCATGACAGAACCCTCTTTGAGAATTGCAGTTTGTAATAAATGTATTTAAGTGAATATCTTATGACTTGCAAAATGAATATTCAGAAGAAATGAATATCTTCTGACTTGCAAAACAGATTGGGTACTCTGAGTTACTTCTCTCTAAAAGTGATTTATGTCAATTTCTCGGATTCTACAGAATTCTATAGAATTGTTGGTCTGGAACCAGCTTATGCAGTTACGTAGTTGTGGGGAGAAGTGGAAGAATTTGTAGCTGTAGGATCCTGTTTTGACAGCAGATGGCTCCCTTACATATAGGTAAGAAAAGTGGCATGATGGTCTACATAGGAATCCTTTCCATCATTTGTGTGGTTATCACTTATGGTATAACATTGAGGCTGAATTTGGAAGTAATCCTTGTCAGTGTTTTTTGTTTGTTTGTTTGTTTGTTTGTTTGTTTGTTTGTTTGAAAGATGATATTAAAGCAGCAGGACGAGCTTCCTTCTTAGGAGCTCTGCTTACCTCTGAGGATAACAACCTGATTATTATTCTTTCTGAGAATGAAAAGTCACACACTTGGCAATACTTATTCCCTTAATTCCCTCATAGAGGTTGTTGTTCAGCCTCAATAGTACCTCACTTATACATGCTGTAGACAGCACAAATTTGGTCTTCCAGCCATTCCAACGTGTTTTAGTGATAACACTGATCACACACCAGGAAATTTTCATTTCACCCTTTCTCGACATTTAGACTCCACAAACCTCAGCTTCATCTCACTCAGTATCAGAAGTAATAGCACTACTCTCTCTTTCCACCACGTGGGCCTTGGTAGAAACACTTGGTAAACTCAGCCCCATCCTGGTCAGCTTGGCACATTTTCCCATACTATTTCTCCACGTCAGTTTGACCTTTGCTAGTGTCTTTTGCTTGGCGTACTGCTGGGGAAAGTACACAAATGGAGCAAATCTGGGTCATTGCAGATTTAAAATAACAGGATTACAGTGTTGGGAGCTTACTTAGGGCTCCCCTTTTTTGTGGCTTTCTAAAATGAGGAAACAAGAAAGGTTACCTGGTCCATCAATTTCACCTTTGCCTCCGCAGGCCAGTCTTAGGTCTCCCTTCCCTGCACATACCCTATCGAATCTCTTATTTATTCCATGAGCTGCACCCAGAATGTTTTATATAGGATAGGCTGGGGCAGCAACATACTGGAAGGAGCTGAGGACTTGCCTAGAAGCTATATTCACATAGCACACTCC